AAAGTTCTCTAAGTGTGAGTTCTGGTTGCGCTAGGTCCAGTTTCTGGGGCACCTTGTCAACTAGAAGGGTATCTTGGTCGATCCGGCCAAGGTAGAAGCCGCGATGCATTGGGAGGTTCCGAGGTCTCCGACTGAGATTAAGAGTTTTCTTGGTCTAGAGGGTTATTACCTGAGATTCCTACAGGATTTCTCCAAGATTTCTATTCCTTTGATCCGACTGAATAGGAAGTAGGTGACATTTTGCTAGTGGCCTTAGTAGCAGACAGAAAATGGTTATACGAGGCACCGATTCTGACTTTGCCAAAAGGCGTCGATGAATTTAGGGTTTACTGTGACGCGCTTCGATCACGGGCATGGGTGTGGTCTTGATGCAGTGAGGTCACGTGATAGCTTACGCTTCGAGGCAGTTGAAGCCTCACGAGGCGAACGATCCAACATGTGATTTAGAACTGGGGGTTATGGTTTTTGCCCTCAAAGGTTTGGTGGCATTATCTATATGGGGTTCGTTGTACCATTTACACGACCCAAAAGAGCGTGAGGTACCTCATACATTAGCCGAATCTGAACACGAGGTAGCATCGGTGCTTAGATGTGGTGATGGACTATGACTGTGAGATGCTTTAACACCCAGGCAAGGCCAATGTGATGGTCGATGCTCTGAGACACAAGGCGTTGGCGGCCTCGATTCAAGACATATGTCTGAGGATGACAACGATTACTTCGTTGCTAGATCAGATATGGGAGGCACAGGTCGAGGGCCTGAAGGAGGAGAGTTGGAAGTGCGAGTGGATCATAGTCCAAGTGGCCTCATTTTATTATGACAACCGTGGGTTGTTGACCCTGCATGGGAGGGTTTAGGTTCCGTACTGGGGAGGGGTACGACAAGTTCTGATGGATGAGGCCCACAAGTCGAGGTTCTCCATCTATCCCGGGGCGACAAAGATGTATCGGGATCTTTGCCCTGATTATTGGTAGCACTGCATGAATCGGGACGTAGCATGGTATGTGGATCGATGCTTGACCTGCAGGAAGGTCAACGCCGAGCACCAGTAACCTCACGACAAGATGAAACCATTGAATATTCCCGTGTGGAAATGGGAAGACATCATTATGGATTTCATCATTAAGCTTCCTAGTACTGCACGTGGAGTAGATTCGATATGGGTCATCGTGGATTGATTGACCAAGAGTGTTAATTTTATCCTGATCTAGGAGAGTATATTGGCTGAGAAGTTGGCCGAGATCTATGTACGTGAGGTAGTGGCATGACATGGAGTTCCTGTTTCGGTTGTGCCAACACCGCTTTCCACCCTTAGACGGATGAGCAGAGTGAGAGGACGATTCAGACTCTCGAGGACATGCTACGCTCCTGTGTATTGGATTTTGGTGGCAGTTGGGATACGTGTCTTCCATTAGCGGATTTTTCCTATGACAATAGTTACCACCCTAGCATAAACCGACCTCCCTTCGAGATGCTATTGGGGAGGAAGTGTAAGACCCCAATCTATTGGGGCGAGGTAGGACAGAGGGTTATGGGGAGTGTTGAGGTAGTACTCAAGACCACTGAGAGGATACAGCAGGTCCGGAGCATGCTCTAGACTGCTTAGAGTCAGCAGAAAAGTTATACCGACAAACATCGTTCAAACTTGGAGTTTCAGGAGAGCGACATGGTCCTCCTGAAGGTGTCACCTTGGAAATGTGTCATCCGGTTCAGGAAGCAGGGCAAGCTGGGCCCCAGGAAACAGGTAAGCGGAATACATATACCAGTTGATGGCTTCAGTAGTGAAGTAGAAAACACTCAAGGGAAGTCGTTGATTATTATGCATATTAGAATAATCAAAATAATTGTTAGCTTGGAAAATCCAATTTAACAGGTTGTAGCCTTCAAATTTGGGTAGAAAGATTTGGGGTGGGGTGGGGGGAGGTTGGTGGTAGGTTGGGTGAGGTGGTTGTGGTGGTGGGTTTTGTGTTTGGATTTTGAAGAGGGTCAGAAGGGTGTTCATATTGGTGGTGTAACACATGGTTCCTGGTATGTAATTAAAATAATAACATATTCATTTTTATAAAGCAACTCAACGAGTTGGTAGCCCCAAACTCATCAAGTAGAGATTAGAAGGGACATGGCTTTTAAGCAACCAACTCGACGAGTAGGCCGGCAGGGGTGAAACCCTAATTTAAGGGTTTTACACCTAATTTAAGGATCTTAATCCCCTCATGCTAGCCTCATTCCCAGCCTCTAAGTCCCAAACCCTAAATCCAGAACCCTAATTCATTTGTGAGCTTGTGAGCCAATTTTTGAGTAAAGTTTTGTGTGTGTTGAAGCTTATGAAGGAAGGAGAAGCTTGGGGAATCAAGAAGAAGCTAGTAGATCCAGACTCCATTTCTTTCTCATCATTTTCTGGTATGCAAGTCTCAAACTTGCATAATAACTTCTTAGATCTCCTTATTGTCATTTTATTGGGTTATTGGCCCAAAAAGCTTGATCTTTTGGAAATAGATGTCACAAGTTAGTATACCTTTAGATCTAGAACCTAGAAGGGCTCTCATGGCATAAAGGTGCAAACTTTATGGCCATTGAAGCCCCATGCAAGATTTAGGATGTTATTTTGGCCTTTTAAGCTCCAAAAGGCCATGCATGGAGAAAAATATGCAAGCTTTACCTGCTCTTGTATTGTTTAGGGTCTAGATCTCAATTTATACGCGTTGGTTTAGAGTATTGATGGTATTGGGATCAAGATCTAGGTCTTAAAGAATTAGTCTTTGAGCTAAACATATTTTGTAAGGCTAATAACAGGTAAGGTTGGAAACTTTACACTTAAAAGGACATTCTCAGAGTATATGTGAAGTATGAAGCTCATATATGAAGAATAGGTTCTCAATCCATTAAGATGGCTTAACAGACTAAAGAACTCGTCGAGTCCATAAAGGAACTCGACGAGTTGGTTTGAAATGACCCAACCCCATAGAAGGAAAAACTCGATGAGTTCACAATGGATTCGACGAGTTAGAACGATTTGTCCTGACTTTGTATAGGGTAGAAATCGACGAGTTTAGGAGGGACTCGACGAGTTGACTCGTTTAATCATGATGCTGCTGAGCATGGAAACTAGACGGGTCAGGGGGATGACTCGACGAGTTGAGTCAACTCGGGATGTTGACTTTGACTTTTACTGGACGTTTACTTTTACCACGGTTGACGCATGAAGGGGTCTTGTGTATAGTATGGTATCTAAGGGGTTGTTTCTGTATAGGGCGTCAGTAGAGCTAGTTGCAAGAGAAGAGACATTCAACTATTTCACCGGAAATTTGAGGTGAGTTTTCCTCCAGTAGGAACGGGTCGAAGGCACCAATGCCAGCCCATTTATGTATGTTAGCAGATGTCGGACTAATGTCTAATGTCGGTTTATGCCCGATGTAGGTTTATATTTTTCCAGACTTCGGTCGGCCGGGGCAAGCCCGAAGAATGTTTGTATGGTTGATGACTTCGTGATTCTTGCATGTATTTGTTTGTATGTTTCCGGACTTCGGTCTAATGCCGGGGCAAGCCCGAGGAATGTTTATATGCTTTCGGATTTATGTCCGATGTCGGACGGGGCCTGAGAAATGTTTATATGTTTATTTTATGTGTTTATGTATATATGTATTTGTTGATATGCTTATGTATACTGAGCTCTGCTCGATGCCGGGCAGGGCCTGATGCCGGACTTCGGTCTAATGCCGGGTGAGGCCCGATGTAGTGGGCTAGGCCCAAGTTATGTGTTATGTGTTTCTGTGATTATGTGTATGGTATGTAGTTGTGTGGGGAGGCTCACTATGCTTCGTGCTTACAGTTTTCAGTTTTGGTTTCAGGTACTTCCACTAACAAGGGAAAGAGCTCGGGATGACTACAGTGCACATACCATTTATTTTGGCTTGAGATGGTTATACTCTGATATATTGATAGATATTTATGATATTTTTGAGATACACGACTTATGATTTTTATATGATGGATGATGTTTTATGGTTTTATTAATGATTAAAAAACAAAATATTAAACTATATTTTTGAGATGTGACAGGTGGTAAGTGTATCGAGGTGGTGATTGGTAGCGACGGTAAGGTGGATGAGGGCGGCAAGTTGTTCATTGGCATTGAGGGGTTCTTCGGGCTTGTTTTCAACTTTTGGAGGCATGATGAACGTGGAAAGCACGAAATTGATGGATACGTATTTGAGATGGCAAATCTCCGAGAACGATAGACAAGAGAATGGAGCAATTTTCTGTAATTTTTCATACTACAAATGAACGTGAACATCAAATAAATATGCAGACCTATGCTATATTCTAGGAATTAGTAGATGGTCATAGACCTTTAGGAGTGCTAACTAACCTGATGCTAAACTAATGCAACTACTACTAAAATGGAGGAGACTTCTTCCACATCTGACCAATTCTTCATTGCTTGGGATGCTTGACTTCCCTTTAGTCCAAAACCTTTGCAGGCTTTCTTGTGATCCGTCTGGGCCTGCTAACCTCCGTAATTGGGCTGCTATGTGTTGGCTCGGTGTCATATGGAAGTGGGTTTGTATCCGAACCACTGTTGTTATTATGTGGTGGTCTGGTGGACCAGTAGAAATGTATTGAAGAGGTACTTATCCTACGCTTTTTGCTTTGGGGGTTCAGAAATAATGCAAAATCTCAGACAAAGTCAGAAAAGAAGGTATCACGTGTGTGTTTAATTTGAAGTGGAACATGGTAATTGGTAAGTAGCAGGGGTGTTAAATACTTTGTTTCGATTTTTTGTTCATTCACTGTTGTTTTAAGAAAGGGTGGCATGCTTGACCAAAACCTCCTTCTCTAACGAACAGGGGATCAGTTATGGGAAAGAAATCAAATGATTTGAAGATTGTACATTGATAGTATACTACATGCATATATACTACACAAGATTCCAAAAAATACACAAAGGATAACTGCCGTGGATTATCAACGAGCAAAACCCACCTCTTTACGTGAAACGTTATTTCATTAGGCTACGAATATCATCATGATCAGCAACATCTACATTGCTAGAAAACAGATCATTACAAAGCTCCCCATAAAATCTACACACCAGGTTCATAAACACAGGACTTTTGAGGTTCTTCCAGCAGTAAAGAAGCTCTTCCACATCGACCAAATCCCTCATTTTCCCTTCCTCTGCTATCATCTTCACCAAATAATTCTCAAAGCTCCTGCAAGCCTCTCCAGCATCATTTTCTTCTTGAATCACGCTTTCCCTGTTAGCTCGACTCATTTTGATATATGCTGGGGTAAGAGGCGATGGGCATGGCGCTTTCTGCATATACCCGGCGTCTGAGAAGCTCTTGAGCTCCATTAGCCTATCCATGTCTCCTGTCTTTCTGAATGGCTTGAAACACGATGTTAAAGAGCAGAAACGCTGTGTGTTGGTGGATGTGCTTATGGGTTTTGTCTTGCGAGACCGAGTTATAAAGATTGGTTTCTTGAGTTTGAATTTAAACACGTTTGTGAGACTTTTGCATGGGTTGGTGAAGAGTTTCTTGCAGGTGAAGCTATGTGGACGTTTGGTGGTCATCTTTATGGGTGAAGCAATTAATACGAAAAAATGATGACGGAGGAGGGACAGAATTATTGAGAGCTTGGTTATAATGGAGGTTGGTGTTGCAGCGATTGGAGATTTATATTAAATAGAAGTTGGTGAATATAGATATGAGTGGCTTTCACATCTTTTTTTCAAGAAAAGAAGTGCTATTCCATGAACTACATTCGGAAGAAATAATCAAATTACTAATTTAATGACCACTGAATTTATTGTTTTTCTAAACTTTTAGCAATATGAACTATGAAGATTGGAAGATTGAGGTTAAATTAAATATTATTGTAACTCTGTTTAATTTTATGCAATAATATATGTTTTACATTTTATCCATTTAGGCAGCTACAAAATATACATATATATATATATATAATATATATATATATATATATATATATATATATATATATAGATCCGGTAATAAATTTTTTTTGGTAGGAAGGTAAGAAGTTTTTTTCTACATATTTTTTTGACGAACAAAAAAAATGAATCACTAGATGATTCATTTGTAAGATGATTCACAAGAAAAAATTCTCAAAAAAACATCTTTATGATTCATTTTTAAGTAAATTAAGAAAAAATCACTTTTATAACAATTTTAATGAATAACAACAAAATCATTATATAAATGAATCATCGAGATGTTTTTTTTGAGAATTTTTTCTTGTGAATCATCTTACAAATGAATCATCTAATGATTCATTTTGTTTGTTCGTGAAAAAAATATGTAGAAAAAAAACTTCTTACCTTCCTACCAAAAATTTCCTTCTTATTTGATCTTGACTCTATATATATATAATATATATATATATATATATATATATATAATATATATATATATATATATTATATATATATATATATATATATATATATATATATATAATATATATTATATATATAGGATTAGGATCAAATGTGAATTATAAATATTATATGAATGTATGATCAAATTCTAACTACTAAAATAAAAAGAATAAATTGTTATGATTTGAAGGTACGTGTTACTAACATGTACTGTATAATTACATTTAATTAATTGTAAGTGTATATATGACATTTTATGAAGAGAGATAAATTAGAATTATTTATATTTTAGGAAGCTAAATAAAATTAATTAATGAAAATTAAATCAAATATAATATTTTGTTCAACACATTTAAATTAAATCAAAAGTTTTGAGAATACGACTCCATTCAACAATATGAATAGTTATTTTGATTTTGTCATTCTTGAAAAACACACATCATATTCTTAAAGAATACACATCATATTTTTTAGAATAACATATCATTCTTTAATAAAAATATATCGCAATATAATTAAGAATATATACTTTTCAAATAAGAATCATTCTTAAAACATAAAAAAAATAGTATATACAACATTTTAAAGAATATACATAACATTCTATACTACATTCTTTAAGAATATCTCATCCTTTTTGAAGAATATACAAAAAAATTTATAGTATATAATACATTCTTGAAGAAGTTATCATCATTCATGAAAAATATGTCTTTGCTTTTTGATGGTTTTCACATATCTCTATCTTTACATCTACATGTTTTGAGCCTAAGCACACAAATCATTCAATTAAAACATACAAAGAGACATGGCTGGTTATTCTGCAAAATAGCTCAATAACATCCGTTTAACATCACATCACACCGACCTGTTACATCTTCATTCTCCATGTGAACCTACAAACAACATCAAGGCTCAAGCACTATTAAAATATTGCAGCAAGACAATACAATTATTAAGCATTTTGGTTAACTATGCAAAATACATTAATGCCCTTGTCGTTGAAAATAGTTCGGGAAAGCTTGTTTAAGGTAAAAATAAATTAACATTGAGACACTTTCTACCACATAGATTCACCATATGATATCAACAAATAGCTTTACCATTCCGGTTACTAGCCCTCACTTCGCGCTCAACTTTTCCAAATCTTGTGTTGTTCTTTAATTTGCATTAATATTAACTCCTGGCACATGAAATACATGAAACGAGCAATATCTAACAAATAATAATCATGTAACTTTTCAACATCAAAATAATAATATTAATAAATAAAATAAGAGTACTCAATTCACAATTAAACTACCACCGGCTAGCTTATTCCCGTCACTCAATCTGGATTAATTTGAAACTAAATATAGATTTAAAAAAAAAAAAATATGTGCTTTAAAATAAGAAAGGTATCTTGTTATACAAAGAAAATAGTTACATTTGTTTTCAAACTTCATATTATTTATGCATTTACACTCTTTAGCTTTAAAAGACCATCAAAATTACTTTATCTTATGCATTCTTTATAATTTTTTTTTTTTGAAATAAAGCTTTAGACAAATATAGACAACAAAGACTTGCATTTTCCCAAGAAAAAATCAATCTAAAGTAAAAAAAAAAAAAAAAAAGTTAACATGATATAAAAAGATCAAAGTCAAATATTTATGTCTACATATGGGTTGATTTCCTATGACATTTGGCCATTATCTCTCTCTCAGTAATGATTTCGACACCTGGTTACCAGATATCAATATTTTGATAGTTTTATACTCAATCAGTCATGTTAAAGTAAAAGAATATCAAATTTTACAAGATGGGTCTCTCAAATCTTAATGGATATAAAAAATAAAAAGATATTTAGATCATTTAATCTGCAACTATAAGAAAAAAATTAAATTACTATAAATCACATTGTAATATGCATCTTCCTTAAGTAAATTTCATTAAGTGTGAAAGT